ACCCCGGATCCCCCGCACCCCGGATACCCCGCACCGCGGATCCCCCGCACCGCGGATCCCCCGCATCCCCGAGCCCCCGCACCCCGGATCCCCCGCCAGCTGCCGCCCCCGGTTCGCCCGCAGCGGCCACGCCGTGTCCCGCGGAGCGCCGGACTCACGGCAGGGGCGGCGGGCGCTGAGAAGGGCTGGGCTTGGTCGGCCCCGGTGCTCCCTGCCCGGTACCTGAGCCCCGGTCCCGGTGCCCCCTGTCCGGTACCTGAGTCCCGGTCCCACTATCCCGAGCCCCAGCCCTGCTGTCCCGAGCGCCGGTGTCCCCTGCCCGGTACCTGAGCCTCAGTGTCCCGAGCCCCGGCCCGGTACCTGAGCCCCGGTCCCGGTACCTCAGCCCCGCCCCGCTGTCCCGGTGTCCCGAGCCCCGGTGTCCCGGTGTCCGGTACCTGAGCCCCGGCCCCGCTGTCCCGAACCCCGGTGGCCCGAGTCCCGGTGCCCCGCTACCCCCTGCCCGGTGTCCCGAGCCCCGGTGTCCCGGTGTCCCGGTGTCCCGGTGTCCCGGTGTCCCGGTGTCCCGGTGTCCGGTACCTGAGCCCCGGCCCCGCTGCCACCCCCGCCCCCCCGCCGCCGCCTTTTGACGGGAACCGGCGCCGCCGCCCCCCCGCCAATGCCTGCGCGGCCCCGCTCGGCCCCGCCCACATTCGCCATATAAGGGCAGAGGGGCGGGGTCACGGCGAGGGGCGTGGCGAAGGATTAGCGTGGCCCCGGTGGCGCGGGGGCTTCCCCGGAGGGGCCGCGCGGGGTCCCGGGGCCGCTGCCGCCCGCGGACCCCCGGACCCCGCTGACCATCCGGCTCCCGCTGACCACCCGGTGCCCACCCGGGTTCGCGATGACCACCCGGTGCCCACCCCGTTCCCGCTGACCACCCGGTGTCCACCCGGGTTCCCACTGACCACCCGCTGCCCCCCGGACCCCGCTGACCACCCCGTGCCCAACCCGGGTTCCCGCTGACCACCCGGTGCCCACCCGGGTTCGCGATGACCACCCGGTGCCCACCCCGTTCCCGCTGACCACCCGGTGCCCACCCCGTTCCCGCCGACCACCCGGTGTCCACCCGGGTTCCCGCTGTCCACCCGACCCCTCTCCCACACCCCGGAGCACCAGCAGGGCAAGGGACCCTTGGGGTGCCAGCGCCCGGCGCTCTGGGGGCTGGCACCCCTCCCAGAAGTGCGGTGAGCTCGGGCAGCTCCCGGTGAGTGCCCGGTGCCGGACGGGCACGGAGTAAACGCCACCAGTACCAGAGTGCCACCCGCAGCACCCCTGGCTCCTTGCAAGCTCCGGCTGCTCCCGTTGTCCCCACAGAGCCCCGAGGCTGATCCGAGCCCGGGGACCCGCAGGACACCTGGATTTGTCTGCTCCTGAAGGATGTGAGAGTATTTGGGACGGAGCATCCAAAATCCTGTTATTGGTGACGTGGAATGTGGGATCTGTGGCAGAGCCAGCTCAGTCCAACCCAACCCAAAGATGCCCTGTTGCCTGTGCGCGCTGCATCCCTGGTCTAAAAAATGGGGATATTCGGCAATTTTCCCCTTTCCATCCTCAAATCCCCACCCGGGATGTAGCCACCCGCAACACCGAATAAAGCAGCGAGAGGCGCTCCCAGAAAAGCCCTGCAGCTGCTGCCAGGGTTTATCGGGTGTCCCCTAAACCCAAAATCCCGGGAGCAAACGAGCCCCCGGCGCAGCAGAGCCCCCGCAGCCGCGGGCACCGGGTTCAGCCGCCACGCTTTGCGTGGGGAAAACGCTTCGAAATCGCCTTTAAATTGATTTAATGAGGCCGAGGAGGGAAAAACAATGTCTGGGAAGAAATGGGAGCTCATCAGAGGCAATTTCGTGGCGCGCAGGGATTTCGGGAGGGTGGGGAGCGGAGCAAGCTGCTCATCCCCATCCCGGTGCTTTTGGGATCGCAGCTCTTCCCATGCCAAATCAATGTCCCAAAATCTCCCAGGGCTTTTCCCCCTGCCGTGCACCAGACCAGCGTGACGCATTTTCCATACAAATTTTTACCTTCTTCCCACCTGGAATTTGTGCCCCCCGAGCTCTGGGGAAATTCTGTGCCTGAGGAGGGTTTGTTTGAATTCCCTCCCTCTCTCCTGGTTTCCTGCTGCTTCTCTGCCCTCAACCCACCTGGCACGAGGGCTCTGGGGCCAAATCCCGGCTCTGCTCCGCATCCCCGGGACAGCCGGCGTGTGCGGGATTCGGGAGGATTTAATTCCTGCGGGGAATTTCATCCCTGCCTGGAAATTCCCAGAGCTGTGAGCGGGAGCCGCGCTTGTTGTGCTGCTCCCGCCTGGAAAAAGGGATCGGCGGGGCTGGGAGAGGAGGAGGATGGCTCAGGGATGTGCAGTGCCAGGAACTGGGATCCCCACATCTCCATGGAATGGTTTGGGCTCGGAAGGGACCTTAAGGATCGTCCCTGCCACCCCGGAATTGTCCCTGCGCGGGGCTTGGAGCCACCTGGGAGGGTGGCACGTGGGGGATAAACGGGGCTGGATGAGCTCCAAGGTCCCTCCCAAAAATTCCTGCGATTCCACGATCCCGTTCCAGGGCTCAGAAATCCTTGAAGGACACACGGAAAAGAGGAGGAAAACCCCACTCCGATATTTCCCTGTCCTTGGAGCAGCGCTCCCTCATCCCGGAGCTCCTCCGGGGATGGGTCCGGACTCATCCCATCCCGGGAGGGCGGAGGTTTCCCGGGAAGCGCTTCCACAATCCCGCCGGTGGCTGGAAAAGCGGCTTTCCCCCCTTCCTCCCTTCCCGCTGGGTTTGGGGGACAGAAAAAACTTGGTAAAAAAATCCGGGATCCAACCCGGGAAGCGACAGAAGCCGAGGGGAGGCTGCGGGCGGAATTTTCGCTTCTTTCTTCGCTCTGGGAATTCTCTGCGGGGTCGAGCTGATCCCGCAGCTCATCCCAAGGGACTGTCAGGGGTTTCTCCTTTCCCAATTCCTCTTTTCCCAATCCCTCTCCCTTCTCCTTTTCCAACCCTTCCCGCCACAGCCCCCGGGAAGGCGCAGGAAGGAGCCGGGAGAAGGAAGGAAGGAGAGCCGGGAATTCTCCCCCCGCCTGAAATTTCGCTCCTGGGAAGGACAGAATAAATGATCCATAAAATTTCCATGGGATACGTCTCCCGCGGCCGGGCAGGCGGTGCCTCTGGAGCTCACTAAATATTTTAATTTTGCCGTGAATTTTATTTTGATCGTTTGGGTGATTGCGAGAGGGAGTGATTTCGTTTTATATCTGTTTTTCTCTCAGGTGTGTGGGAAAAAGTCCCACGGGAGGGAATTTATTGGAGGAAAATGGAGCGGCCGGGGCTGGGGGGGAGGTGGGAGGGAATGGCCTGGGGGCATTTCCCCCCGAAATTGGGAGGTGCTGGAGGTGATGCTGGGCTGGACCGGGACCGGTGGGCACAGGTGGGCTCAGGCTGCTCGGGACCGGGACCGGTGGGCTCAGACTGTTCTGTACCGGGACCGGTGGGCTCAGACTGTTCCGTACCGGGACAGGTGGGCTCAGACTGTTCCGTACCGGGACAGGTGGGCACAGGTGAGCTCAGGCTGCTCGGAACCGGGACCGGTGGGCTCAGGCTGTTCCATACCGGGACAGGTGGGCTCAGGCTGCTCGGGCCCGGGACCGGTGGGCTCAGGCTGCTCGGGACCGGGACCGGTGGGCTCAGACTGTTCCGTACCGGGACAGGTGGGCACAGGTGGGCTCAGGCTGCTCGGAACCGCTCCGTACCGGTGTGGGCCCGCTCCGGGCTGGGAGCAGGGCTCTCACCCTGGCGTGGCACGAGTCTGTACTGGTGTGATGGAGCTCAAACTGGGACAGGCATCCCCAAACTGGGACTTGTGAGCCCCGCACTAGTGCCAGCCCCCTCCCCATCTCCACCCCCGCGCATGCGCGCTCCGGACAGAGCGCACCCGCTGCGCGCACGCGCGCGATTTACGTCACGCCCCGCCCTGCCACGCCCAACCGGAACCAGGCGTTGCTTCTGCGCGTGCGCTGCTCTGACCACGCCTATTGCATGCAAATGAAGGGTGTGGTCACTGCACCCACCCCTGACCATTGGCGCGTGCGCTTTGGGCGAAACGACGGGGCGTGGCTCGCTAAACCCCGCCCTTCACTGAGACTCATTTGAATAACCCCGCCCATCCACACGCGACGAGAACGGGCGGGGTCACGGCGAGGCCCCACCCAGCGGCGGCTCGCGCGGTTGCCACGGCGACGGCGGCTGCGCGCGGGGGCGGGGGCGGGGGCGGGGCCGCGGGCGAGGCGGGAGCGGGGCGCCCCCTGGCGGAGAGCGCTGAGGGAAGGGGTCTGTGAGGGGGCGGCTCTGAGGGACTGAGGGAGGGGGTCTGTGAGGGGGCGGCTCTGAGCGACTGAGAGAGGGGGTCTGTGAGGGAGGGGGTCTGTGAGAGAGGGGCTCTGTGAGGGAGGGTGTCTGTGAGAGAGGGGCTCTGTGAGGGAGGGTCTGTGAGGGAGGGTCTGTGAGAGAGGGGGTCTGTGAGAGCGGGGGTCTGTGAGAGAGGGTCTGTGAGAGAGGGTCTGTGATGGAGAGGGTCTGTGATGGAGAGGGTCTCTGAGGGAGGGGGTCTGTGAGAGAGGGTCTGTGAGAGAGGGGGTCTGTGAGAGAGGGTCTGTGAGAGAGGGGGTCTGTGAGGGAGAGGGTCTGTGAGAGAGAGGGTCTGTGAGGGAGGGTCTGTGAGAGAGGGTCTGTGAGGGAGGGAGTCTCTGAGGGAGGGGGTCTGTGAGAGAGGGGGTCTATGACAGAGGGGGTCTGTGAGAGAGGGGGTCTGTGAGAGAGGGTCTGTGATGGAGAGGGTGTCTGAGGGAGGGGGTCTGTGAGGGAGGGAGTCTCTGAGGGAGGGGGTCTTCAAAGGGCGTTCTTCAGGGAGGGGGACCCTGAGGATGAGGGATTTTCTGAGGTGGGGGTCCATAGCAGGGCCTGTCCCTCTCCTGGGGTCAGGGGCTCTGGGGTGCTCTTGAGGGGACGTGGCCGAGCCCTGGGCCCGTTTCTTGGGCTGGGGGCTGCCCCCCCAAGAGGAGATGCTCTCTCAGGGGAGGAGGGGGTGCCCTGGGGCGCGCTGGGTTTTGGGCGGCTGGAAGTGGAGCCCATCAAGGTGTCCCTTTCTCCCCTTGTGGATGGGGATACTTTGTGGTGGCTTTGGGACCCCTGGGAAGGGCTTTAAAACCCTTTCAACAGCCCTGAGCTGCTGCTGCTGCCTCTCACAGGTGACACCGTGCCGCCACCATGGGCTCTGTGCGTTCCCTGCCCTCCTCCAGCGCTGCCCCGAGCCGGAGGAAGGCTGAGCATGAGGAGGATGAGGATGTATTGGTTGGCCAGGAACCCGTGGAGGACGTGGCCAAGATTCCCTACATGGAATTCACTGGCCGGGACAGCATCACCTGTCCCACCTGCCAGGGCATCGGCTGCATCCCCACAGGTGGCTGCTCCTCTGGGGCGTAAACACCCCAAATCCCAGCTCCAAACAGCGAAAAAAAGTCACTTTTTAATGTGTTATTCCCGTTTTGCTTCCCAGAGCAGGTGAATGAGTTAGTGGCTCTGATCCCTTACAGCGACCAAAGGCTTCGTCCTCAGAGAACGTAAGGGAGGAGTTCTTTTAGGGGTTGTTTTTTCCCCAAAAAATAGGATTTAAAGTGTGATTTTGAATATTTCTACCATGACCACCATGATCCCTCTCCCACCTTCTGTCCCCTCACTGGAGTTTTGGGAGCAGCTGTAAAAAGACCCCAAAATGCTGCTTGGGTTGCTCAGTACCCAACCCCAAATGTGGAAAGGGAGGATTTTGAGCCATTTAATATTAACAATGTGACAGTAGCTCTTGGGTGCTTCTTCCGAGGAAACCAAACGGGGTGGGGTTTTTTTAGGATCTGAATCTAGCAGAGGAGGTGAAGAATTTAATTTTTTTGGGTTTTTTTCCCCAGGAAATTCTATGTCCTGCTCTCAGTGCTGCTCTGCCTGCTGCTATCCGGCCTGGGGGTTTTCTTCCTCTTCCCCCACTCTGTGCTGGTGGACGATGGTGGCATCAAAGTGGTCCAGGTGTGGTTTGACAGGAAAAACTCCGCTGTCCTCCTGGCCATTACGGTAAAGTTTCTGTGGATTTGGGAAAATAAATCACCAGGGGAACAAGCCAGCAGGGTCAGGGTTGTTTTTGTTCTCCTCCAGGCCACCCTGAGGATCAGGAATTCCAACTTCTACTCGGTGTCGGTGAGCAGCCTGAGCAGCCAGGTGCAGTACATGAACACTGTGGTGGGCAGCCAGCAGCTCACCAACGTCTCCAGCATCCAGCCCCTGAGGGACAAACTGGTACTGAGCAGTGTCCAGGGGCCACAGCTGCTTTTGCTCTGTCCACTCCCTCAGAAATGGGGTTGAAGGGTGATGAAACTGCACTGAAATCTGATTTTTCTGCTCTGTTGCAGGTGAATTTCACCGTGAAGGCAGAGCTGGGTGGATCCCTGTCCTATGTGTAGTAAGGATTTACTGCTCCTTGGAGATGCCTGGGGAGGGAGAGGGTTGGAGCTGCTTTGATTAAAATTTGGGAAATTAATCTGTAAATCACTCACTTTTCCTGCTCACTTCCTTGGCCAGGAATTTTCTCAAGGGGCTGTGAGATGGTTTTGTTAACACCAAAGTGAAAAATACCAGCAGGAGCTGCCAAAAAACTCCAAATTCCTCAAGTTTCTCACTTGCTGACCAATTTCCCTGATCTTTTCCAGTTTTTTCTGCACTTTGCCCAAGGTGAAGGTCCACAACATCGTGATCCTCATGAGGTGGGTGCTGCTCCTGCTTAGGGTTCTTGGAGCTCTTTTCCCACCTTAAAGATTCTGTTCGGTGATTCCTGAATCCCAAGGGGATTCCAGCCATGGATTTGGGCTTCAGGGAGAAAATCCTGCTTGGATTTTTCCCCAGATTCCCCCCAAATCCACCTCAGGGTCAGGTTTTAATCCAGCACACGGGGATAAATATGAGGTGCAGCACACAGTTCCCTCCAGAGGCTGCAATTCCCACCTTTTCACCAAAACCCGCTGCATTTTTTTTTTTTTTTTTTTTGAGGAAAAAGAGGAGAGTTGTGTGATGACTACAAACGTGCTGCAGTGTCTCTTTGCCCTGCCAGGACCTCGGTGAAGCTGTCCTACATCGGCCGCAGCGCCCAGAGCTCCCTGGAGACCTTCCACTACCTGGACTGCAGCTCCAACTCCACGGCCCCGCTGCCCGCCGCGGCCCGGGCGGCGCCCTGAGGGCTCCCGGGAGCACCGGGACGTGAGTGGCTCTGCGGGGACACACCCGGCAGCTCCGGGGCCTTTGGGTGCTCCTTCCCCTCCTTTTTGATGAGGAATCTGGAACTTTCCCTCCTGGATTAAGGGCTGAAATCCCAGAGGTTTTCAGTGCTTTGCACCTGTTCTGGAAGCTTGGAACCGTCAGGGTGTTTTGGGGTAAATGAGTTTGATTTTTGAGAGTAAATGTATTTATTATTTTCAGGGGAAATGAGTTTATTTTCCTGCTCAGTGGTAGCAGCACCTCAGGACCCCAAAAGAGGGACAGTTCCCACCCCGAATGAGCCTCTGTTACACCCTGGAAGGAGGCAAAGGAACCCAAATCATTGGAATGAACTTCTTCCTCATTTTATCCCTGTGGCTCCGACAATTTGGCATCCAGAGGCTCTTCCCTGGGGTTTGAAATCCGGGAATTTGCTGCTTTTTGTGCTCCACTTCCCAAAGCAGCAGGGATTGGAGGGGGTTCTGTGGGAGGCTGGGATTCCAAGGCCTCCCTGCCGGGAGCTGGACATTCCTGCCAGCCGCTATCCCGAGCAAAATCCAGCTGCCAGCTCGGCCCCCGCAGCCCTTTGGCATTTTGCCCCTTTTTGGGAGTTTTTTTCTGGAATTTCAGCCCTCGTTTCCCGTGGGATTCGGGATTCAGACACAGCTACATCTGAGGGGATCCTTCCTGAGTGGAAAAATTACTGGATTTTTGGGTGACGGTGGCACAAAATCCACACTTTGCTCCCTTTTCCAGCAGGAGATACCTGCCCCTGCAGCATTTGTAGGGCTGAATTCTCCATTAAACCTGATTTGGATCTTTCCATGCACTGTCCTTTATTTATTTTAACAAAAAGCTCTGATTTGTCCTAAATCCAGTTCTCTGCTGGGATTGCTCCTGTGGTGTTTTTTGCCCAAAAATCGCTGTTTTGCTGATGGATTTCCATAGAATCCAAGAATGGGTTGAGGGGGATGCTAAAATTCATCCCCAGGGATGGGGAATCCTCTGGAAATTCCATCCTGGGACCTCCCTGCCCTCACGGGGAGGAATTCCTTCCCAAAATCCCACCCAAACCTCCAGATCCCAGTGGGAAGCCACTCCCCATGTCCTGTCCCTCTGTCCTTTATCCCAAATCTGTCCCCAGCTCTCCTGAAAGGTCACCCTGGAGCCTTTCCTTCTCCAGGTTGGAAAATCCCATTTAGCCCAGCCCTTCCCAGTAATTTTTTTGGGGAAAAAACTTGACCAGGTGCCCATTCCCAGCTGGGACCAGTGCCCAGATCCCAATCCCAACCTCCTTCCCCGGTGACCAATTCCCACTGAGTTTTCCTTATTTTTTTTTTAAGGAAAAGGGAGAAATCCCAAACTTTGCTTTTTCTGCATTTTCTTCCTCTCCTGGCTGGGTTTAATCCTGATTTTCTGGGGGTCTCCCCACATTCCCTTTCCCCCTCTTTACCCCCAGCCCTATTCCCACTTTTCCAAGGATCCTGGAAGGTTTTTGGGGGGGCTGCCCCCAGGAGGGATCCCCGAATTTGCTGCTTGGCTGCGCCAGGAGGGGAAAGATTTGACCCCAAACCCTCAGTGCAGAGCCCCCATCATTAGGAGAGCATCTCAAAGGGCATTTTTGGGTGGAAAATCCTCTTTAATCCCCCAATCCTCCTTAATGAATTTCCCCTGCCAATGTTTTGGTGCTTGGCCACAACTGGCAGCTGCTGCATTTGAAACTGGGAGGGTTTTAAAACTCAAATTCTGATCCAAAATGGCTTTTTTATAAAGAATCTTTTCAAGTTATAATTTCTCCGAGCAAAGCTTTGCCATCCACAGAGGCAAAAAGAGGAGTTTTGACCCAAAAGAATTGGGATGAAACTCTGGAATTCCTCCCCCAGGAGCTGCCTGGGGCCTCTGAGCAGGTTTGGGGCTCTTCGGGGTCACTGGGCTGATTTTTGTCAAGATCATTAAAAAAATCCCATTTCTGACATTTTTTTTTTTGCCTGTAATGAACAGTCTGGTGAGGAGAGGAATTTCCATGTGGGATTTTTTGTGGTGCAGCAAGAGGGGAGTCTCCTACTTCCAGTGCTGCAAAACAGCCCAAAATTGAGTTTTTTGCAGGTAAAAATCAGGATGAAATTCGTGGGGAGGAGGGGATTGCCCTGGTGACACTGGGAATATCCCAGTCCTAATTATGGGACAATAATTCCACAATTAAACCTCCTGCTTTTCCAAGAGTTTCTACTTCAAAATTTTTCACCTTTAAATTTTTCCTTTTTTTTTTTTTTTTGGCTATTTTGGGGAATTTTGCCCCCCTCTTCCCCCTTAGTTTGAAGTAGCCCAACCCAAAAAATGTGCAATTTTAACCCAAAATGAGGATTTCAATGGGATTTTTTCCCAACCTAAAGAACTTTACAGTGGTTGAAATGGGGAGGAAATATTTAAATTACTGCAAACACACCCAAAAAAAAAAAGAGACTCAACTCAACTTTTACTTTTGACCAAAAGTGTTTTTTTTTAGATTTTTTTCATTTTATACCAACAGATGTTAAAAAATACAGACTTGTTTTACAAGAATAGCACCATTTTTTGATTTTTTTTTTGTGTATTTTTAAACTCATATTATACATGAACACTCCATCTGGGGGGAAAGGGGAAAATTAGGGGTGAGGAGGCGATTTTTGATACCTGGATTGGTGAAATCCCATTTTTTTCAAGGGAAAAAGGGATCACTTACATTCCCACCTCCACCTGACCTCAAAAACAGGTCTTCCAGGAAGAGAATAAATAAATATTAACGGGTTTTTCCTTTGATTCTGGTGTTGGGATGAGGTGGTTGCTCCCTGATTCGGGGTGAGCCCTTTCAGTGCAGAACTTCTCAGCTCCTTTTTGGGGTGGATCCCGTTTTTTGTGGTTTTTTTTTCTTTTTTTTTAAGGAATCAGGCCGGGCTTTTTAAAAAAAAAAACAAAAACCAAACCAACAAACAAAAACCACGACAACCCAAAACAAACAACCACACCAAAAAAATCCTGTTTTTTTTTTTACAAGAAGCAGACGGGGCCGAGGTCGACCCCAAACTCCTGCTCGGGTCCCCCAATGTCCATAGGTGCAATGTCCACGATGGGCAGGCGCGAGGTCTTCTGCGAGCGGTACTCGATGACAGTCCTGCCCCATTTCCCCGTGTGTTTCTGAGGGAAAAACGGGCAAAAATGGGGTTATTTCATCTATTACATCCTAGCCAAACCTTTCAAATCCCAGATGGAGCCCAAATTTATCATCAGGCCCCACTTCTTGCTGTGTTTCTAAGGGAAAAAATGGGTAAAAATGGGATTATTTAATCCTCCAGAAGCTTCCAAATCTGAATTTGAGGCCAGATTTATCCTAGCATTAGAAAAATGGGGTTAGTTAATCTTCTAGAACCTTCCCAATCTCAGCTGGAACCCAGATCTATCATTAACATTGGAAAAATGCAGTTATTTAATCTTCTAGAACCTTCCCAATTTCAGCTGGAACCCAGATCTATCATTAACATTGGAAAAATGCAGTTATTTAATCTTCTAGAACCTTCCCAATCTCAGTTGGAGCCCAGTTTTATCATTAGCATTGGAAAAATGGGGTTATTTAATCTTCTCTGGATTTGGACCTTCCAAATCTCAGTTTGAGCCCAGATTTATCATTAGAATTGGAAAAATTGAGTAAGTTAATCTTCTAGGACCTTCCCAATCTCCGTTTGAGCCCCATTTCAGGTTACACCCAGAAGGGCCACGTTTCTCAGCGTGTTTCTGAGGGGAAATCGGGGTTTGGAGTCCCCATCCCTGGAGCACCATGGCCAGCTCCAGGTGCCACCAAAGCCCGGACGCGGCGACGCGTGGTGACGCGACGCCACCAACCTCGTCAACCCCTCGGTTTGCGGAGCCTGCCTCGATTTCCCCCGTCCGTCCCCAGCACCCACCGTGCAGCCGTCCTCCAGCACGCTGTAGGTGAACCTGCTGTTGCCCTCGGCGCGGATCTCGACGTCGTTGGAGCCCTGGATGAGCAGCGCCTTCCTCAGGCTGCCCGACTCCTCGTCCAGGTAGGCCACGCTGTTGCGGCAGTGGTAGGTGATGTTCTGGGAGCCCTCGGTGGACAGCAGCCTCAGGAAGGTCATCTGGATGTTGGCCGTGTTGGGCGCCAGGTCCTCAGCGCCATAGCTGAACTGTGGGCAGGAGGGAGGCTTTCAGACAGCTTTTCGGGGGATTTTGGGAGGATTTCCGGGGTCAAATTTCCCAGAGGGGTGTAGCTGTCACGGCCTGATGCCAAGATTTCTGTGAAAGTCTCTAAATGGACCCGTTTTGGTGCAAAACCCATCAATTTCACCTCAAGGAAGGACATCACTCCAAATTTTACATAAAATCCCTAAATCCACAAATATCTGATCCAAACCCCATCAATTCCACCCCAAAGAAGGACACCGCTCCAGAATTTCCTTAAAGTCTTCTGGATCAACCAGTTCTGATCCAAACACCACCTATTTCACCCTGAGGTGGGACATCAACTCCAAACTTTCAATAAAATCCCCTAAATTAACCATTTCTGATCCAAAACCCACCAGTTCTACCCCCAGGAAGGACGTCAGCTCCCAGATTTCCATATAATCCTCAAATCACCCAATATCTGATAGAACCACCAAAAATTCCTTCCCTGGAAGGACATCAGCTCCAACTTTTCCGTGGAACTCCACGCCCACCCCTTTTCCCTGTTTGTTCTCCGTGCCCATCCCGGCCGGACACCCACGTGGAAGCCGCCGTTGATGGTCTCGGCGAACCAGACGTGCTTCTTCTCCTTGGCTTTGCTGCTCCACCAGTTCTTCCTGGGGATGCTGCCGGGGCTGGGGTACACGCACGTCTCCCCCGTGGCCATGTTGCAGAAGACCTTGATGGCGTCCAGCGTGCAGCCCTGGTTGGGGTCGATCCAGTAATCGCCTGCGGACGAGGGCGCAGAGTGAGTGACCGCCCGGTGGTGGGGTCAGCGAGGAGGTCAGCGCGGTCCTTGGTGTCCGGGTGGGTGGTGGAGGGGACAAGGAGGAAGAGGGGGACACGGGGATGGAGGAAGGGATGGACGCAGATGGACACAAGGATGGACACAAGGATGGACACAAGGATGGATGCAGATGGACACAGGGATGGACATAGATGGACACAGGGATGGACACAGATGGACACAGGGATGGACACAGGGCCGGAGCCCCTCCCTC